TTTCTTCACACAAGAAGAGTCATAAACCAGAGTTGCCAAACAAAATGTTTTATTCTTTCTAAACTCATAACTGACTAATGAAACCACACTGTGGGCTTACAGAATTACCGGCCTGAACTAATTCCCTGTCCTCTTCAATTTATCTTTCTTGCTAGTATATCCTCTTTTCCTTACGCTGTGCCTGCAGGTGTTGTTGTCAGCACTGGGAAAAGCTTCATGAGGGGGATCTCATCCAAAGCATTGCCGTCTTTAGCTGCCTCAGTATGTTTGTGGCACCTCTTTCCCTCAGCTCAGTGCATCATGGTTACAGTCTTTCTTCCCGGAGGAGGCTAGTCTTTCTCTCTGATACTGGATACTATAATATTACGGGCTGATGGAGGACAGTGGCGAACGCACCATTAACTCTGTGCTGACTTAGTGGCTCGGGCCATTTGCTGAGTGTAGCATGAACCTCAGCGCTAAACCTGCCCCCGGTAGCTTGTTCTCACAGATATGGGGTGGTCATTTAAATTGAAATATCTTTGGTGTAAGTATTGTGTTAAAAGTGTTCCAGTCTTCTTACACATTGCTTTTAAAAGGTGAAGTGTGTATTTTTATGCGTTTAATGTTCAAATTTAAGGCAAATATACAGTAAGTTAAGAGCATTCTTTGATGAGCATTCACTGAAGTCATTAATTTTCCGTGAGACTTGGAGAGTTAGCATGATTGCAAGTATGATATTGCTTTCATACCACAGTTCAATAAATGATAAGTTAATATTGAGTAACCTACATTCATTGCCATTGTCTATTTTTATTCTGCCAATGAAAAGAATCCCAAGCAAAGCCACAATCAACTTTGTGCATCGCTGAGAAAACCCACAGTAGTGAATCAGAATAAATTGTCTATTTGAGCAAACAATCAGTGTTTTTAAAAGAATTGGTTGTATTGAATGATTCAGTGACTTGCATGTAAAAACAATCACTTGCTTTTACAATCACTTGTAAAAAATCTGTGTTTTAAACAAATTGGTTGAATGATTCAGTGACTAATAAAGACAGTCACTTGTCACTACCTGCAGGTGCATTTATGTAATTTATTGAAAAAGTTACTTAGAAATCATGAAATGTTTTGGAAAGTTGAAATATCCTGCAGTGTGGCATGCATCAACAGGTATTTAAAAGTTTTTTTTAATGCAGTTATAAATGCAGGTTTTCTGTCCTTGTGTTGATTGAGAGACAAATGTAATATTTGACAGGAACTAACTGTTGTATAATACGTGATACAACAGATGTGTGATATAACAACAACGTCATATAACAACTGTATGTGTTAATGTCATATATTATACAACAGTTAGTTCCGGTCAAATATTCTGTGTAGTCTCTCAATTAACACAAGGACAGAAAAGCTGCATGTAATTCTTTCACATTCAGTTCTGCTATATATTTTTCAGCTCTCTGTTGTTTGCTTGTGTGGTTCAAGGCCACAGAGATCTTGTTAATGTAAAGCCCTATCTACTACCTGTCTGTTGTTGGCCCGGGGAATGAGTATTTGACATTGGTCAGTGGAATTCAATTGACCTGCTTTGAGATTTTCCTTTCCGCTCTTTTAAAATCCATTCACTGTTGTGCCTGACCTCTAAACGAGATAGCATCAAAATCCACACAGCAGAGATATATCAGCAGCCTTTGAATGACAAAGTCAATCCGGCCCAGAGCTGCGTGTGTTTGCTACTCTTTTATTCGTCTGTAGCATTGCAAAAGGTAGAAATCCACCTAATCTAAACGGTTTTTAAAGAACCAGATCGATTTGTTTGTCTGTTTATTTCAATACTGAGATTTCAGGCATTTGTTTGGTCCAAAGCATTAGTTAGTAAAAAAATATTAGCCAAAAACTTAGCATTGTAACTTTTTTTGATAGCAGTTGTGGTCAGTTTTATGAAAGTATATTTATGTTGTAATATTCATGTGATTATACTTAGAAATTAAATTTTTACATTTTCTGAAGAACATTTTAGTCCTTGTCCATAAAAAAAGCTAAAGATGCTAACATGCTAAATGTTAAATAGTTTTCAGAGGTATGTGGGTGCTAACTCTTATAAAAAATTAACCGTGGGTTTATTAAAGTAAAAGTGTAGTAACCATGTTTTTTGTTTTTGTTTTTTTTGGCTGTTAAAATTTATATAACCACAGTTTTCCTACAAATACAAATACTAGTTAAACTATGGTTAGTGTAGCCATGGTTAATTTGTGGTTACCATGATTTAAATACAATAACCATGTCATTTTTGGTTTCATTTGTAATAAAACCATGGTTAATTTTCATAAAGGAAGGTGTTCTGGGTGTTTTCTTTAGTTGCTAGGTTTCTAGGATGTTCTTGTTGGTTGTTGGGATATTTTGGGTGGTTGCTTACTTGCCCAAGTAAACAACCCTATTAATGCCCCTAGAAATGGCTCTGGTCCCTTCTTCAATGTAACACTTAGCAAGCACCGCTAATCAATGTTTAGTGTAGATTTTATTTAGTATGTGAAAATATTTTATACATCCATTTCACACCTTCTGCAAGTGTATAGAGCTGGATGATTTGATTTTCATTCCAGCTGGAATGTGACAGTGGTATATGATAAAGCTGTGCATGTTTGTTCTGTTCCTCTCTGAGAGGATGTTGTTTTAGGCTGCTGTCTACATCCCTCAAGAGAAGAGAAGGGTCAGCCAATCCAATCTCCCCCTGCTTAGAGCAAACGCAACCTTCCTTCCAATGCGCTGTACACACAAAAAAGATCCAATCACGTTACTTTCTTTTAAGAACATGCTACATTTGTTGGCTGCCTTGACCTTGAGCATGGAGAAATGTAGCAGCTAGATAATATCTACATATTTCAGAAGATGTTATTCCACCTTTCCCCTCAGCTGTTCGATGGTCATTGAAGAAACCTTTGAGTGGTTTTTAGATGCTTGTTGGCTAATCAGCTTTGCAAAAACACAATTAGCATCATATCTCATTGAGCATTATTGTAATTGATTTCAAAAGCAACTAGCGTAGGTGGCAGAAATGTGAAATACAAATCAGCTAAAGTACAATAAACAACAAGAATGACTTTTCAGTGAGCAACATTGATTTTAAATCTGGCAATACAATTTTGATAATGTCACCGTTTTGACTGTAAAAGTGTTTTATGAGCCCTAGCTGCTCTTTACAAATAGTTTGCATATTTACAGGTTTATTGACGCAAAGTCACAAAAAGTCAGGATCGATTTCTCTCATATCCCATCCGCTCAAACATGCTCACACCCGATCACATGCTCGTAAGCCATTTCAAATCCTTTTACAAAACTAGTCTCCGTCTCTAATGTAATACCCAGTCGCCTTACAGCTCTTCAGGACGGTTATTCCGGTGGGGTGGGTGACCCCATTAAAGAATGGACAGGCGTTTACTACAGCGCAGATAAGCCCATTTAGGGTCTGCCGCCAGTGTGGGGCTGAAGTGTGAATCTCAGGTCATCTGCAGCACAGTTGAATCAGTGAGGTCACGGAGCTCACATCAGCACAGAATAGCTCAGACCTCATGCTGCATTTGCCATAAATTTCCAGTGAGAAGTGTGGTTCAATCATTTTACTGCAATGGTACCTCATTGGTTTGGTGATGTGACATCATTAAACAGAAACCCATAGTCATCTTTTTTCCCCAAACTGATTTAGAAGTTTGATTAAAGGGATTTTTTAAAAATAATTTTACAAAATGTTCTATTGAATAAATTATTATAATTTATAATCATTTTTACAAGGTAATTTAACATTACTAAATTATCATCATTTAAAAATGTTTAATTACATTCTAAAAAATTATATTTTACATTACATTTTAATATATATATTACAAATAAATTGGAGTTAGGGTTGCATGGTTTGACCGTTTTAATTTGAAATTATAAGGCTATAAAACTACAAATATCATTTTTTTTTTTAAATTTTATATTTTAAATTTTAAATTTAATATGATATTTCTATAAATATCCACTTTTCAATTATTAGTTGTTAATTATTCAAAATCATGATATCAGGGTTGACATTTTAAGATCGCCGCCAACTGACAAATACAAAACATAAGGAAAAAAAAAATATTATAAAAGGAGACTTGTTTGTTTTTGTCCTTCTATGATTTTACTTCCTGGATGATGAAAAAGTCATTATTAATCAGGGTTCCTTTTTTTTCAGTTCATTACAAAAAGGAGAACATATCTAAAAAAATTATATTTTACATTACATTTTAATATATATTACAAATAAATTGGAGTTAGGGTTGCATGGTTTGACAGTTTTAATTTGAAATTATAAGGCTATAAAACTACAAATATAATTTTTTTTTAAAAAGAGAATTTAATATGATATTTCTACAAATATCCACTTTTCAATTATTAGTTGTTAATTATTCAAAATCATGATATCAGGGTTGACATTTTAAGATCGCCGCCAACTGACAAATACAAAACATAAGGAAAAAAAAAATATTATAAAAGGAGACTTGTTTGTTTTTGTCCTTCTATGATTTTACTTCCTGGATGATGAAAAAGTCATTATTAATCAGGGTTCCTTTTTTTTCAGTTCATTACAAAAAGGAGAACATATGGGAACCGAGTTGATGCCTAACCTGACGACTTCAAGTCTTTTCAATGATACATTTTAAAATAAAATCTAAATATGTACAATGACAAGAAGATAAGAACAATGAAAAAATGACAAAATTGTGCTTATATAGCACAAAAAAGTTGGAAACACAGGAGACAAAATATGCTTGTGATGAATTATAAAAAAGAACAAATATGGAAACAGGAAACAAAAAACAAAAACAAAAAAGTTCAGATGTCTAAAAATTTGTCTATATGTCTATATTAACATGCAATAGTTAAAGGTTCAGCTATCAACTATTTATTGTTCAAGTAATTTTTTTACATACTGTATATGTATTTGAGGAACTTTAAGACTCTGTGTTAATAAAGAACATTCTTCATTTTTCCAGATGCCAAGGCTTGCCCTGCTAAAGAGTTCCAGTGCCGTAATCGTCTGTGTGTGGCTCCCACGTTCGTCTGTGACGGGGATGATGACTGCGGCGACGGCAGCGATGAGGAGAAGTGCACGGCAGCCACCGCCAGCACCTGCGGGCCACATGAGTTTCGCTGTAACGACTCGGAGTGTATCCCAGCGCCGTGGAGCTGCGACGGAGACCCCGACTGCAGAGACAAGTCGGACGAATCTCTGGAGCATTGCAGCCGCAGGACAGAGCCTCAAAAAAACCACTGCACTGCGGGAGAGTTTCGGTGCAGGAGTGGAGAGTGTATTCACCTCAACTGGAAATGCGACGGAGATGTAGACTGCAAGGACAAGTCTGATGAGGCCAACTGTCGTAAGTGTTTAAGAAGACTAATATTTGTAATATACTGATCAGAGTTAACATTCTCAAGCACATGTTTCCTAAGGTATTTACATTGGAGAGGCTTGCTGTGTGGTGAATGAGTTAATTAAATGAATTAATAATCAGTTTTACCGCTTGGTTGCATTACATGCTCTTTTTAATGCTGCATGCATGCTGTTCTTGTCATTATAGTCTTTCTAAATTACTGTCACGTCCAAGTAAAGCAGTAAAGCACATGGTGTATTCATGGAAAATGTTGTTCATTTAGAATCAGTCCCTTATTGTCTGTTCCTCCTTATTCTGTTAACACAAATGCATTGCATGCATGCCAACATAAATTAACTTGATTTTGTTGATCTGTAGTCGTACAAGGTCAGTGTATCAATTTTGCTGACTATGATAAAATAATAAAACATACTCAAAATACTAGAAGAAAATATACTCTAAATACAAAATATACTCTAAATTATACTCTAAATCTATTCAAATTAATTTGAATTCCATCTGTTACAGTATATATAATTAGAGCTGTAATTTTGAAATATAATTTAGTAATCTTAGTACCTAAGCTTGGCACTTTTTTGAACATGCTGCACTTTGTATTGACTTCTACTGCCAATGTCTACTTTGTCTGCCACAATAATTAATTGTCTTTGAAAAATCTTCATTTAGCATATTTTATCAGCAAATATTGATTTATAAAAAATTGGATTATTGCTAAATTAATTAGCATGTAATTTATCATGTTTTTAATTGATTTATAAACAATACAATAGAATCAGAATCAGTGAACATGAATGTTTATTGACTTTGCATTTCAAGGATTTGTTTCTCCATGAGGCATGAGGAAACAAGCATGTTTGTTTGAGTAATCCTGAAAACACAAAATCTGCAGCTGAAAACTTTGTTTGCATGTGCGTTGTTGATGCAGAGCATGTGCACACACGTGTAAATTTTTTTCTAGCATGTGTGTGTTTATTGATATAATGGTGTTCTTTTTCCATGAGTTTATGACAGGTAAATCTCCACGAAGTACTGTGGTAGAGGCATGGTAATGTGCTAGAGTCTTGGTGGTTGCCAGGCAACACGTGTGTTTTGAGGCATGGCAGAGTAAGCGCTCTGTGAGTGTTGTCTCACTGTAGGGTTCTTGTAAGGGATTGTGCACCATCCTCAAAATACTTAACTGTTCAGTTCATATTTTGGTCATTTTGCATTATATTTTATTTGGTTTAGGTTAGATGTTTATTCTTTGTGGGTGAATACTGTTTTTATGCTGCCAGTGTTATTTTAGTCATTTTTATGTACTATTACAGTTTTTTGGTATTATTTTGAATTTATTTTTTATTTATATTTTATTTTTACTTACATTTGTAGTCATTTTGTTATGTGCTTTGTCATTTTTATTACTTTTTGTTTTTTAAAAATGTTTAAAAATAGTATTTTTTTCAATTTTAGTTTTATTTCAGTACTTCAGTTCAACCAATTTTTTCCAGTTAGTTGCAAAGGCAACATTTCAAATTTTCACGTGGTTTGAGTTTTTCAATCTAATATTTTATTTAAGCTCTTATTTCAATTAAAAATAATGTTTTTAATGGTTTTAATTGTAGTTAACGATAACAACACTGACTATGCTTATGACAGCAATGGCAATATGAATAAATGCTCCAATGTTTAATAAATAATTACATTTATGAATAATAACAAACTATGTTTCCACTAAGTAACGGTTCAAAAGCCAAACTGGAGGTGATATTACAGATACAGTTGATGCATTCATATAGAATTCAATTAACTAATGTTATTAAACTAATATTATATACAATTTTGTTTCTCAAGTGAATATATTTTGTTTTAGAGAGGGTTATTTATTTTTACTGGAAAACAGGGCACAAATATAGGTCAAGCGTATTTTTAAGCAGTGTATAGAGGCAAGAGAGCTGGCGTGAGATAAGTTGATGTGCTCTAGTGAAATTGATCACGGTGAATGTTCTCCCTCCGCAGCTCCTCCAAATTACACCGTATGAAAGATTAAAGGGATTTTAAAAGATGAATGTGAAAAATTAAGACCTTTCTTCGTCGAGCAGCACATTTTTCTTCCTTCAGTGTGTTCCCTTATGCCCCAGAGTAAGTGACTGATTGTTTTTAATGTTCAGAGCTTTTTTTCTTAGGAAACTGTCTTGCAAATAAGCTATTACCTTGAGATCTGACAGGAGGTAAAAGCCAAAACCATTTGCTGTTTTAGAACTGAAGTTCACAAACAGAGGTGCAATGGGTGATTATTATGAAAGTGTGATGGTGAGTGCTTTAGTGTGCATGTGTTTAACAGCTTTAACAACTCATGGCTTTATCTTAGTCCTTTACATTTACTTGGCAGATTCTTTTTTCCAAAGTGACTTATATTTAAATTATACATTTGCAATGAACCAATTTTGATGCTGATGCTGATACAGATGTCTAGAGTGCGAGGTAATAAAAATTCATAAAAAATGTGTATAGGAATGTAATATTATTAAAATAAAATGTACAGTATATAATTATATATTTTATAATATCTTATATACTATCTTTTTATTTTATTTTATCACCATCATTTACTCAAAATTAACTACAAATATTTAAAAACAGAACATGTGCACTATCCATTGACAAGGATGTCAGTAGATTTTGGAATTAACATTAGGTGGAATGACCACTTCTGAGAATCAGTAAATCATACTCCGCTCTGCAGTTTTCTGCAAAATGACCAAATATTGATTATTTGGCCAGGCTGATATATATAGCTACAGGAATGATAGTCCTACATAAACATGTTTTTGCCCTACAGCTGTGCTGACCTGTCGTCCTGATGAGTTCCAGTGTGGCGATGGCTCCTGCATTCACGGCACTAAACAGTGTAACAAAGTGCACGACTGTCCAGATTTCAGCGACGAGGCTGGCTGCATCAACAAAAGTGAGTAACTTCAGTGATCTCCCTTTCCCTTTTGATTAGCCTCTTCATCTCTCCCCTCTTCTAGCAGCATTTTCAGTGAAGATGAAAGAGTAGAGTGCATCCAATCATGTAGCCCCAATCAAGTTAATATTCACACAAAGCACTACAAGGCCAAACAGATATACCCCTACATGATTCCAGGGTTTCACGGCACACTTTCTATATGGCACCTTCACCTCAAAAGATTAATTATGCCATGGCTATATCTGGTTAGTGATGCATAACATGATTTAAGTAGGACATAGGATCAGCATCCTTTGTTGGTCCTAAAACAATATTTCTGTAGATTAGTCAGAGTCCTGTGACTGTAGGGTTAGGTTTAGGGATAAGATTAGGACTACAGTTGGTTGATAGGAAGGTTCTTCCAGGACAAACAAATTATATTTATTCAGGAACGTGTCCTATTTGGATAAATCATGTTGTAATTGCATAATTCGCCCAAAAATTAAAATGTACTTTTTTTTCTTACCATCATGTCATTTCAAATGGCTTTATTCTTGTGAAACACAAAAACAGAAGTTTAGCAGAATGTGCTCAGTGCTCTTTCCCATACACATGCACTGCTGTTTAAATGTATACTTTTATTCAGTATACAAAGATGCATTAAAATGATCAAAAAAATGCCAGTCAAGACATTAATAATGTTACAAAAATTATATTTTTACTTTCTATTCATCAAAGAATCCTGAAAAAAGTATCAAGGTTTCCACTAAAATATTAAGCAGCACAGCTGTTTTCAAGATGGATAATAATAACAAATAATAAGAAACTAAATGCAAAAAAAAAGCTAAAAAAGTGAACATTTTATCCAATGTACCCTTTAAAATATATAAAAATTGATATTTTTATACTGCTTTATGGTATTTTTGACCATAAATGCAGTCTTGGTAAGATATTTCTTTTTTTTAAAGATATTTAGACTTTAAAAGCAATATCCTTTGAAACATACTGTGACCTGGGGGGCTGTCAAGATCCAGAAAGGACAACAAAAAAAAAACACCATTAAAGTACCAAATAAGTAGTCCATATGACTCATGCACTATATTCCATAGGGCTGAGTAAAAAATATCAATATCTCGATTTTAATCGATTCTCATTTTTACGGAACGATATCGATTCTTAAATCCCAAGAATCGATTAGTCTAGCCTCTTTTCAGTCAATGGATGGAACATTGAAGGGCACTTCCCATCCAATAAATTGCAATAAGCATTGTGCTTTGGTACTTTTAATATGAAACAAAGTCTCAGATTTCAAATTCTGTCCATTGTATTACAGTATTTAAACAATAAATGCCGTTTTGGCACTGTTTAATGTGGAGTGACAGATCGCTGTAGAGCGGCGCGCTTCAGTTCAATAAAAGCGGCAGCGCGAGGCATACGTGAACTCATCTTCTCCTCCACATTAATACCAGTTTCAGCACAAAATAAACATGACTAAACATCCGAAGGTAAGTTAAAAGAAAGAGTACAACTTTACAATCCGTATCCTGTCTCATGTATTCGCTCAATTAGTGTTTCGGCTGCACAAAGACGTCAATATAACAGCTTGTAAACAATGTGTCACGTAACGACATTTACCTAAATGCTTATATTTCAAAAAAACGAATTGAAGTAGAAGTATTATTATGTAATTGTAACTTTATTATTTTAAAAACTTCATTAAGTGTAATTTTAGCAGTTAATTTTAACCTTTTAATATTATAGTAATGTAGTACCAACTGACTCTCATGTATATTTTACAGCTTTAGTTGAGATTTTTTTTCCTTGAGAAAAGTTGGCATGTACTGTACCTGATATTTATCTAAAATAATCGATATTGAATCAAATCGAATTGGTAATCGAATCAAATCGCAAGCTTGCGAATGAGAATTGAATTGAATCGTGAAATTTGTGTCAAAACCCAGCCCTAATATTCCAGATCTTCTGAAGCCATATATTGTATTTCAGCCTGTTTCTCACACAGACCTATTTTATAGGCTTTACACGATTTGAAATACAGTGTTAAATTCCACAGACTACTTTTATGGTGCTTTTATGTACTTGTTTTGAGCTTGACGGCCTCTTGTCACTGTCTATTGTCATTGTACGGCAAAGAGCATAATGAACATTCATGCAACGAGTGTCGTTTGAAAATGTGTTTTGTGTAATGGCAGTTCATGTTTTGTACTCTACATAATTTAGTTTTGTTTATGTGCTACTACTGAAATATCATAAGTGTAAGAACTCTTTATTGTGTCCTTGACAGCCACCAAATGTGAAGGTCCTCTGAAGTTCATGTGTAAGAGCGGGGAATGTATCGATAGCAGTAAAGTGTGCGACAGTATCAAGGACTGCAAGGACTGGTCTGATGAGCCTGTGAAGGAGTGCGGTGAGTTCAGGCACTTCTGCGCGTATGCAAACATCCTCAGTAAATTGTTTATTGGTATAATCATATATTTTGGACTTTATTTTTAAATGAGGTTTTATATGCAAGTATTTTATACGAGATATTTTAAATGATGACTTTAACGTAAGTTTTGACATGACTTTTTTAGTGTGGGAAGCCAAAGATAGAATTGTAAAATTGTTTAAAATGGAATGCCTGCAACCAGTGATCTAGGGTCAGCTTTTTCTTTCTCACTAGTAGCGTTGGATTTGGAGAGGGAAAACTAATTCCAGACCAGCATTTAAGCTTATAGACAGTGTTGGCTTATTAGGGGCTTCACTTGATCAAGGGCCAACAACCCACAGAGCGATCATTAAGATCAAAGTGTGAGTCTTCCCTCGGGTGCTATCATACAAGGAGAACGTGCCCAGCATAGAGAATGCAGGTTTCCATAGATCTGTTTTTTCTCTCTGTTCTTGTCTTTCATCATATTGGGGAACTGGACTTTTTCTTCGACGATAAGCTAGAGCTGAAAATGCCATATTGTTGGAGGAGTGTGAAATTTTTTTTTGATGTTAAAATACTTTCATCTTTCCAAGTTCAATGTACAGAGACAACTGTAGTTAAACCATTCATTGGTCAACTACCTGAAGAGTGTAAACACTTGTGGGACTCTGTTTGCTTGAGCAGTTCAATATCTCAGCTTCTGGCTCAACCAGTAGTGTGGATTTGGAGCAGAACTGCATATTTTTCCAAGTAATGGCAGATGGAACATAAGGAGATAAACAAATCCTGTAAAAATCATTAATTGTTAGTTAATTATAGCTAAAGCAGCTATTTTTCATATTTAACCTTATTGAAAAGTAGCGTTATTTTTATACTATTATAGTTTTATTAATATTTTTAATGGCTTTTATTTTTATATATTCAGTTTTACTCATTGTATGTGCTTTTGTAATTTTTATTAGTTTTAAATATTATGTAGGTTTAATTTACTTGTATTTCAGTTTTAGTTTGAGTTCAGTTTTAGTTTTATTTATTTTCATTTAGTAATTTTAGTGCTCCATTTCAGTCAAGGCATCATTTTTAAGTTTTGCTCAGTGTTTCATCTAATATTTATCTAATATTTCAATTAACAAAAATGCTTTTAATAGTTTTAGTTGCAGTTAATAATAATAACCCTGGTTTAAAGGTTTACATACTTTTCTAAGCAATTGAATTTACATTTAAAATGAGTGGGGAAAGTCTCAGACTAAATGCCTGTTCACACAAGATGGATATTCAGTGCGAAAATTTGAAGCAATAAACATTTTAAATTGAATAATGGTTATTAATGCAAACATTCACATGCCATCAATGTGGCAAGTTTTGTACAGAGAGGTGGTCTCATCTTTTCCAACACACTACAAAGAAAACTGGCCCTTTTAGTCACATGCCCAGATTCGCTGCTGTTACATAAAACCACGTCATTGTGGCGCTCACGAACAGAGTATTTTGCACCCTAGCAACTTCTCAGAACACACAGCTGCTTAGCAATGCCCAGCAACCACCTACAACACTGTAAAATTGTGGCCCAGTTGTGCTCAGGTAAAACCACTCGCATTTCGGTCATAAAATGTAAAAATCGATATATTTTTGCATTTGGCTGTGTGGCATTGCTTGTCACATAGATTTTGCACACTTCACCTTTACAAGAAAGATATCTTACTAACTAAATGTTCAGATAGTTTTCTAACACCTTGCAGGTGTATGTTAAATCGATATGGTATTTAGGAAATGCCAGCTCCTCGCTCGATTCTCCCTCTCTCTATTTCTCCCTTTCCTCCTGGTTATGTTCACTCTTTTATCAATCTGTAATGTAAAATACATGGTCCCACAGTGGCTCTTCAGGATGGTGTTAATTTCCTTGCGGGTCCCTCCACTCAGCAGATGAGATTTGTGCTGGCACCTGACGCACGGCAGACGCCCCCCTCTGAGCCCAGTGCACTCTGGACCGGCTCCAAGTGGGCCACTGCAGCTATGCATGCTAAATCACTAGGACTGGTGCCAGGGATTACGCTTCTACCATATTCACTAGTGCATCCTTTACTTGTTATACATGATTCATATGTGGCCTGGGGAAAATACAGTTTCTGGCTTGTCGGAGAGTGCCACTCACACACTTTTTGAGTGTGCATTTCTTTTAGTCACGGTCCAGGTGTTTGTCCTACCTCTTCTCTCAAGCTGTCTCCTTTCATTCTACTTTGTCTTTTCTTTCCCCTATTTCACTTGAACTTCCTGTGGTATTTCTGTCCTCCGTCTGTCTCCTGCTGTCAGCTGTTTCTCAGCATTAGCATCAGCTATTCTTCTCTTTTTCCTATTCTCTTACTGTCTTTCTTCCTCTTTTTTTCTTCTGTCAGGCTGGTTTATGTGTATTTTTGTGTTGTACTTGCACACCATGTCACATTGATATCCACAAACTAACAGAATTTATTTATTTGTTTGTTTTAAAGCAAAGTATTAATATTATTATTGTTGGTTTTTAATAATAGCTTAGAATTTTAAATTAAATGTTTGTTTCTTTATATTTATATTGACTTGTGTTATTATTAATCTTAGTATTTGCTTGCTGAATAAGTTTAGTTTAAAAAAAAAACTTTATACATTTATAAATAGTTCTTATTTATTTATGCATTTATTCAGCTTTATAATTGACCCTTCGCCAGGAGTTTGATTGACAGGCGATATGATCTGACCAATCATAATACCATTTTGTCCGACAAACAAACCAGACAAGAGAGTAGATTAACGTCAGTGGACTTGAACTTGAAAAATTGTGTATATTGTAGTCTTTCCACGGATGAAACAAGATACCTTCTGATGTTCATTCATGTTTATTTTGTGCTATAACTAGTAAAGAGGAAGGAAGGATTGGTTCACATGCCGTTTGATTGACAGGCGATATGATCTGACCAATCATAATACCATTTTGTCCGACAAACAAACCAGACAAGAGAGTAGATTAACGTCAGTGGACTTGAACTTGAAAAATTGTGTATATTGTAGTCTTTCCACGGATGAAACAAGATACCTTCTGATGTTCATTCATGTTTATTTTGTGCTATAACTAGTAAAGAGGAAGAGATGATTGGTTCACATGCCACTTGAACTGAGGCAGCGATCTGTCACGACACATTAAAGAGCCACAAAACGGTATTTAATATTTTAATTTCTTTAAAAAATGACAAAATTTGAAAGCTGATATTTTGTTTCATACCAAAAGTAACCTGCTTAATCTTGTCTGTCAGCATGTTGTCAGTGTCCTCCTTGCTCCACGATGTATTTTCCACTGCGTGAGAACAATGTGTGGGGTGAAAGCGCCATGGTTTGTCGGACGTAGAAACAGTAACTAAGGGGGTGGGTCTTTGCGAAGGGTCAGTTGTGATAAGGGTAATTGTGATAATGAAAATATCTTGTTGATTTGTATTAGGGTCAGAAAGAGCAGACATACTGTAGAGATGAGATTAAAGAGTGATGTATGTGTATGCTGGCTGTCATCTGTAATAGAGGGAGCCATCAGCCAATGTCCAAATGTGTTTGTTGCTCAGAGAAAAATTATTGAATGCAATACTGGCGAGACCTTTGCCATATTACTCTGTCACTCTCTCTCACAGCACCTCACACACAAGCAGTTTCCACCTATTCACTGCATTTTTTTCAAGCATTTAAGGCAGGTCTTTCAGTTAGACTTCACTCACCTCATCACTTTCTCATAAAGTCTTGACACAAACTTGAAGCTCAACCTAGAAAATGAGAAAGAAGCAGTCTATTGTCCGCTGGTGTTAGGTTGCAGTGGGCATTACTGTCCATTTCCCACCGGACACGCTGACCCTTTTTTTTTTTTTTTTTGACCTTTTTTTTCTGTCATAGGTCTGAATGAATGTGCCATTAACAATGGAGGCTGCTCTCACATATGTAAGGACCGGCAGATCGGCTATGAGTGTGAATGTCCCTCGGGCTACAAGCTCCTGGACAAGAAGACTTGTGGAGGTAACAGATATATTATGTCAGATACCAACATTTTGATGCTGTGCAAGTCTACATTGTACCCATTTTCCCCGAAGCCCACTGTTGTACGTGCATTGTGAACGTCTAGGATTTGTTTACTCTCAGTGTCTTCTCTTTGAAATTGATAGTAGAGAAGTCCCCAGATGGTGTTTGCAAGCATCATTTATCTTGTCTGTGGACACTGCACTACAAAAGCCTCTGTTCTCTGTGTATCTCTGCTCTGTTACTAATGCTTTTCTGATGGTCCTCGCCAGACATAGACGAATGCGAGAACCCTGATGCCTGCACTCAAATATGTATCAACCTCAAAGGCGACTACAAATGTGAATGCTATGAGGGTTACGAGATGGACCCGGTTACCAAGACGTGTAAAGCAGTGGGTAAGATACTCCAGATCAGCATCTCCATCCATCACTGTTCTGGACCAGGGTTAAAAAAATTTTTTGTACGTACTAATAGTGGGAGACATTTTACCAATGGTAAAATTTTAGTTTTTCAGATATGTAGCAATGTTTTTTCATTATTTCCTTAAAAACATGTATTTTTGTCCATATAATGATGGAGTTATTGAGTATTTTATCTGTTTTTTTTTCTCTTTTTTATGTGGCAAGCAGTACAGTTTATTGTATCATTCCCAGCATGTATGTATGTATGTATGTATGTATACACACGCACACACACAGTGGCAGAAAAGTTGGAAAATAACTTATTATAAATATTATAACATCTTATAACTTATTCAAAATATTGAAAATATGTACTTTAAAAAAAAGATATTTACAGATATTCAAAGTTGTCTGTAAATTTATAGTATGTTATATTATTAAATTATATTATTTTTTGTTTATGGTAAAACTTTTTATTTATTTATTTTTTTGTATCACACCAGATTCCATTCTGATGATGGAATGAAATTGCTATAAACTGTTATGATTGCATCATCTCTTCCATTTATTCACTGGAGTGGCAGTGGAGTACATTATTTTTCTTGAATATTCTTTGTATTTGTCAAGTGAGGGAGACAGTGGGGTATTTTCTTTTTTTTTGCCAGTCACTTGTTTGTTTTATAAAGAAGATGGGATTGGTGCGGCATGGCATGCTTTGGAATTGTGAGGGTTTTTTGTACCTAATGTAGCTAATCTTTATTGTCCTTCGTTTGCCTGACCATCCTGCGTAAAACTTCAGTGCATTTCCAGCACTCCCGATAGGCTGGATGACAGCTGGAGAAACACTGTCATTAAGTGCAATGTGTAAAGCTGGCGAACAAAACCGTTCCCTCGGGCTAAAGAGCATACTGAAAACTTATACTGAAGTGATTTCACTCTTCAGAAATTGCATTCAGTTGGTATTGTGTTCAGGTCTGATATATCAGTTTAAGTTTGTGTGGTAAGTTTCATATATATACAGTGGGTACGGAAAGTATTCAGACCCCCTTAAATTTTTCACTCTTTGTTATATTGCAGCCATTTGCTAAAATCATTTAAGTAAATTTTTTTTCCTCATTAATGTACACACAGCACCCCATATTGACAGAAAAACACAGAATTGTTGACATTTTTGCAGATTAATTAAAAAAGAAAAACTGAAATATCAAATGGTCCTAAGTATTCAGACCCTTTACTCAGTATTTAGTAGAAGCACCCTTTTGATCTAACACAGCCATGAGTCTTTTTGGGAAAGATGCAACAAGTTTTTCACACATGGATTTGGGGATCCTCTGCCATTCCCTCTTGCAGATCCACTCCAGTTCTGTCAGGTTGGATGGTAAACGTTGGTGGACAGCCATTTTTAGGTCTCTCCAGAGATGCTCAATTGAGTTTAAGTCAGGGCTCTGGCTGGGCAATTCAAGAACAGTCACAGAGTTGTTGGGAAGCCACTCCTTCGTTATTTTAGCTGTGTGCTTAGGGTCATTGTCTTGTTGGAAGGTAAACCTTAGTTCCAGTCTGAGGTCCTGAGCACTCTGGAGAAGGTTTTCATCCAGTGTGTGTGTGTGTTTAGGTCAAAAGAGTTCTTTTAAAAATGTGTCGTTTCTATCTTTATATGGTTCTTAGCACTAAAAATAGAGAATATGTACTGTAACTAATGAGAGTTTTTATTCCTTTCTAGTCTGTCGAGATCAATTTGGACTTTGTTTGTTCTGTGATATGAAGTGGAATTTTAGTTCTGTGTTCAAGATTACAGATGCAGATTCATATTAAGAGATTAGATATTTGACTTTTTTCAGTCATTCTAAATTCTCCTTTAAAGGGCTGCAGTGATCTATGTTTTTTCTTCATCGTTCCACCTTTTTGGTGTGCCTAGAAAAGCTATTAAATAATTTTAATAGCTTGATGTTTTTGTCACAGGTATATCTTTCAAAATGTAAAATAAATAACTTTTTTTGTTTTTTTTCATAAGCATATCAGGCAGAGGCACATTAAAGATAAGAGGGAAGTGCGCTTTTATGCACCGTGTTCCCAGACTTTGGTTTTCTGGGCATAACAGCCATTTTTCAGACACAATAGTAACAGCAAATATGACCTTTGGGTGCCAATATGAGCTATAATGAGTTGTGATATGAATAGAGAGTGCAGAGAGCGTTCAGTGACCATGTTAGTAAAACAAAACATGACCAGACCAATTTCACAGACTTCACATTCAGAGTTTTTAATTTATTTATTTATTTATGTTTTTTATTCTTTCAACTGCAGCCAAAAGCAAACAGAACAAAACAGACAGTGCCTTTCATATGTGATGCTGAAGAAATGAGCATCGTTGCTCAATACTGCCTGCAGTGTTTTAATTAAATATTGAGCTATAATGACTTGTGATATGAATAGAGATTCCAGAGAGTGTTCAGTGACCCTGTTAGTAAAACAAAACATGACCAGACCAGACCATGACCACAGACTTTACATTCAGAGTTTTTTTTATTTTTTATTTATTCAAGCACAGCCAAAAACAAACAGGACAAAACAGACAGCGCCTTTCATATGTGAGCATCGTTGCTTGCTGCATGCAATCAGTGTTTTAAATATTCTGTTACATCTGAATTAACATATATATATATATATATATATATATATATTAAAAAATATATATATTAAAAATATCTGTAACACTTTATTGTAAGGTTCCATTAGTTAATGTTAATGTGTTAACTAACATGAACAATGAACAATACATTTATTACAGTATTTATTAATCTTTGTTAATGTTAGTTAATGAAAATATAGTTGTTCATTGTTAGTTCATGTTAATTCACAGTGCATTAACTAATGTTAACAAGCACAACTTTTGATTTTAATAATGCATTAGTAAATGTTGAAATTAACATGAACTAAGATTAATAAATGCTGTAGAAGTATTGTTCATGCTTAATTCATGTTAACTAAAGTATTTAGCTAATGTTAACTAATGAACCTTGTTGTAAAGTTTTACCAAAGTATCTTCTGTTATGTCTCAATGAAAAAAAAAGTCATAAGGTTTTGAACGAGGGTTAGTAAATGATTTTTCGAGTGAACTATTCCTTTGGTAAAATTACTGTAGTGCACAGGCTTTTTTTAAATATATAAATCTGACAACAGCAATTTGATAAAAGATACAAATATTCAGTATATTATTGATAATATTCAAAATAATTATTATTTTAATTGATATAATTAATTAGCATAACTGTAGGATGGTATAGTTATCAAGTAATGCAGCAACTTGGCACGTTGATAAAAAATTAAATTGATGTGCAATCACTTTTACAGTGGCTTTTATTGTGGGTTGTCCAATCAAATATTAGTCTTTAAAAAAAATTATTGTGATAGGCGTTTGCAGAGATCGTGTGGCGAAAAGGTGTGGGATTATACTATAGAACAACATGTGTGTCATGTGCTTCCAGCTCTCTGATAGGCCTGTCAAATACTGTCATTATAAGTGTGAGGTCACTCACCTGTTGAGAGTAAATCTGAGCCATGTAAGTTGGCCTTAAAGGGGTCATATGATGCGATTTCATTTTTTCCTTTCTCTTTGGAGTGTTACAAGCTTTTGGTGCATACAGAAGATCTGTAAAGTTGTAAAGACTAAAGTCTCAAATCCAAAGAGATATTCTTTATAAAAGTTAAGAGTTAGCCACACCTACCTAAACGGCTCGTTCGAACACGCCCCCACATATCTACCTCACTATGTGGGAAGATTTGCATAACGCCGCCCAAATGTTCACGCAAAGAAAGAAGGCGTAACATTTATTCTCGCTATAGTATTGTTGTTGCCGCTGCCGCCATGTCCTGAAGACGCTGTGTGCTTCGTTGTGAAAGCGAAGCTACTTTGTTTGGTCTTCCAAAAGAGAACGATTTCCGCTTCGTCATGCCTCAAGCTGATCCGTGCTGGTCGCTGAGGAAATACATCAACTTCGCGCTGTGGATGGCCGGATCGGCTTTCACCGTTTTCACCGCTCCTTCGCCGGGACCGCCGTTCTCGACCCCGCCGCCTCAGCTCACTCTTGCCCGGCTTCAGCTCACGCTAAGCCGGGGCTTTCGCTCACGCTAGGCCGCTGTGTGCTTCGTTGTGAAAGCGAAACTACTTTGTTTGGTCTTCCAAAAGAGGACGATATCCGCTTCGTCATGCCTAGAGCTGATCTGTGCTGGTCGCTGAGGAAATACATCAACTTCGCGCTGTGGATGGCCGGATCGGCTTTCACCGTTTTCACCGCTCCTTCGCCGGGACCGCCGTTCTCGACCCCGCCGCCTCAGCTCACTCTTGCCCGGCTTCAGCTCACGCTAAGCCGGGGCTTTCGCTCACGCTAGGCCGCTGTGTGCTTCGTTGTGAAAGCGAAACTACTTTGTTTGGTCTTCCAAAAGAGGACGATATCCGCTTCGTCATGCCTAGAGCTGATCTGTGCTGGTCGCTGAGGAAATACATCAACTTCGCGCTGTGGATGGCCGGATCGGCTTTCACCGTTTTCACCGCTCCTTCGCCGGGACCGCCGTTCTCGACCCCGCCGCCTCAGCTCACTCTTGCCCGGCTTCAGCTCACGCTAAGCCGGGGCTTTCGCTCACGCTAGGCCGCTGTGTGCTTCGTTGTGAAAGCGAAACTACTTTGTTTGGTCTTCCAAAAGAGGACGATATCCGCTTCGTCATGCCTAGAGCTGATCTGTGCTGGTCGCTGAGGAAATACATCAACTTCGCGCTGTGGATGGCCGGATCGGCTTTCACCGTTTTCACCGCTCCTTCGCCGGGACCGCCGTTCTCGACCCCGCCGCCTCAGCTCACTCTTGCCCGGCTTCAGCTCACGCTAAGCCGGGGCTTTCGCTCACGCTAGGCCGCTGTGTGCTTCGTTGTGAAAGCGAAACTACTTTGTTTGGTCTTCCAAAAGAGGACGATATCCGCTTCGTCATGCCTAGAGCTGATCT